AGAGAGAGAGAGAGGAGGTGAAGCGAGACGCTCGGGGCCTCACGCTCGTTGTGTGTGAGAATCAGCGCTCCGGTGGTCCCGTCATCATCCAGCACACTGTGACCCCTGAAACAAACCTCCATTCACACACATCCACACTTCCACTCGCACTGAATCACGAGAGGCTTGCAGGCCCACAGCTCTATATAATGATGTGTTGCACGCTGTGTTTATATGCTACAGCGCCGTGTTACTGTACTGCATCATTACTCTGTCAATCAGGCCACATATATCTACATCCAGTAATTAGAGGGTGTAGCGCTGCTTATATAATGACAGGTCATTTCACAAAGCCTGAATCATGAGATACCATCTCAAGTGTAAAAATGAAGATGAAACCTAAAGCACATAAACATTCTGCCTTTGACATGATGTGGTAAAACTACACAGAATCTGCTGTTCGGGTTGCTATCATGCAAAAAAAAAAAGGGTAAGAAAAATCTATTAAAAACAGGTGCAAAAATACGAATTCAAGCAAAGGGCTGACTCAAACAGAGGTTGCACGAGAAACTACAGTTAAAGTTGCTCAATGAACTACTGTTATGCTTGAATCTGAGAGGAGAACAATTGAATCTCTCGGCATTAATCTGCGCTCATGAGTGTTTTATTTGCATCCAGGCAACAGATTCCTGTGATATTTGATATTCACAGAAGTGTTCATGTTTGCATCTCCGCGCAGCTTTATAAACTAATGACCGACAGTTGAGTACGGGCGGATTCTTTAACGCCCACATTAAAGCGAAAACGCGGCGCGACGCGACACAATGCGTCTGTTAAATACCGGTAAAGAACGGTATAAAAAAGAACGGTAAATACCTGAACAGTATTTTCAGGACTTCACGATTACCGTGACGCTTATCCAGACAGCAGGCCTGAGTTCTTAACGGCTGTCATTGTGGAATTTGAGAGAATTGTCAGATAATATCGACGTTTTCTACCTGACCGCACCGGTCTCTCCTCGTCCGTGGTTACGATCAAATATTCATGAGGAGCGTCACATTGCGTCCAATACGCTTTCAGGGTGGGCGGAGCTACCCGCCACGCCGCAGCAATATGAAAATAAGCGTGGCGGCTGGTTAGCTGTCATTCTCCAGTCCAATTTTAGTATTTGTAATGATATAAAAATAACATTTTTTTTGGCATAGACAAATTAAAGTTACACGTCATTTGGCGACATGCTTGAGCAAATTAATCAAAGTGAACATTTCTGAGGATTTTTATTGTTCCATTTGCTTCCCCGATCGGCGAGATTTGCCGCTTGCAGTCGGTGGAGGAGCTGGAAACGGAGCACTAAAGTCGGACAGCTGATGAAGTGGATTCGATGCAATATTTATTAAATGCACAGATGTTTTCATTAAGCAACAGAAACATTTTTTATTCAGTGATTTATGTACTGCTTCAATACAGCGCTGGTCTATGCATGTGTAAAGCATGTGGGAACACACTGCCACCTAATGGCTATTACTGGCAACAGCACTACTTTTAAATCGATGCTTTCCATGGTGTTTCTTTTTTTATATATATTTTTTTATATACTTTTTTAATATTTTCACAAGTTGAAAAATTACATTCATTTTTATTGGCACAAAATTAATTCCATAGTTAAAGAAGATCAAAAGTTGGAATAATTAACATTTTATAATGTTTTTGATTTAAAAAAGTCATATGCAAGGCTGCATTTTTTTATTAAAATAAAACTTTTAAAATATTGTGAAATTTTATTAAAAATTTAGAACAGCTGTTGTCTATGTGAATATGTGTTAAACTGTAATGTATTTCTGTGATTCGCAGCTGTATTTTCAGCATCATTACTCCAGTCTTCAGTGTCACATGATCTTCAGAAATCATTCTAATATGCTGATTTGCTGCTCAAGAAACATTTATGATTATTATCAATGCTGAAAACAGTTGTGCTGCACAATATTTTTGTGGAAACTGTGATACATTTTATTTTTCAGGATTCACAGATGAACAGAAAGTTCAAAAGAACAGCATTTATTTGAAACGGAAATCTTTTGTAACATTATAAATGTCTTTACTGACACTTTTGATCAATTTAATGCATCCTTGGTTAATAAAAGTGTTATTTTTTGTTGTTGTTATTGTTTTTAAAAATCATACCCCCAAACTTTTGAATGGAAATGTATCACAGTTTCCACAAAAATATTGTGCAGCACAACTGTTTTCAACATTGATAATAATCAGAAATGTTTCTTGAGCAGCAAATCAGCAGAATAAAATTTAAGTATAGGGCTATATAGATAAACACACACACACACACACACACACAATTAATATGAATTCAAATGAAATATTAAACATTAAATTAATTTTAAACATTTAAATTAAAAAGGAAAACATATTAAGTTGTACTATATAAGTTACACATCTGAAGGAAGAGGAATGGAGTATTTTGGCCTGCTCTTCAGCAGAACTGCGCAAGCCATGAATAAGTCACACACTTCTGACTCGAGGGCTGTAACAGACAGTGACAGTCGAGGAACCGTGGGCTCAGGCCATCTTTGGGGAGCAGCTGCCCCTTCAACAGCGCGTCTGCTGAAATAATGAGAGCTGATGAGGCGCTGGAGCCCTAAATACACATTTGCATGGCTCTGCGGCTCTGAAAGGTTAGATGTAGGTAAACCTGCTGGTATAGTGACAAGCACTGAATAAATAATCGCCCCAGCGCTGGCACACCATAGTGCTCATCAATTTTTCAGCCGTGCATCGCAGTTACTTACTGGCTATGCATGCGAGTATGAGCGAGTCCAACGTTATCTGACTATTCAGAGCTCGCACTTCTTATTCATCATATCCTGCTAGAAAGACTAGTGCTTCTGTGCTCGCTGACCTTCAGTCGGGTCAGTTGAAGAATCCAGCAGTGCTTATTTACCTGCGAGAGAGCCAGCCTAGATGCACAGTCTCGGCCTGAGAAGCAGGAGCGCAGGCGAGTCCGATCGTGTCTCACAGATGTCTTCAGACGCACAGTGACACATCTCCACCGAGTCTGGAGGACTGTGTGTCTGATTGTATAAGTGCACGAGCGAAATAGATGCCGCTGACCCAAATCCAAGCATATCATATCACGAATAAAGCGATATGTGCATGAAAGAAGTGTTTGTCATTCCTATAAAGTGAAGCAAGTTCAAGTTTCTTCAAATATTTACATATGTTGTAATATTTACAATAGCAAATATTTATAATATTTGTAGTAAACTGAAATAAATCTGGTGTAGAAACTAATTTAATTCAGAAATTATTAGTACATTTCACAAATAATTACAAAGAAACATCAAATAAGAAATGTTGACGTAGAAAACTGAAATAGTATTTTCTTGTAAAACTCACTCCATTCATCTTTTCATTTACAGCTGCAACGTCACAACTTTTTTAACAGTGTATTTAAAAAAAAAAAATTACGTTATAATGAAAAAGTGTTTTCTAAGCTCAGTTTAACAAACAGAGTGCGAGGTTTGACATCCTGAAGACTCAGACGCAGTGTTTAGGAAACCTGTTTGAAAACAGTTGATTCTGCTTTGAGTCCAACCCGATCTCATGAAAATGCGTATAAATAGTACGCCAAATAAAAACAAAAACTCGTGGTATTGATATGCAAAAATGGACTTTGGCGTGCATATGCTACGCAATGGGTAGGTTTAGGGTTGTGGGGTAGATGTGTATCATATGTATGCGAAAACTGCGTATTATATGCATGGCCAAACACATGCGTATCATATGCACGCCAACAAATTTCGTATCATATGCACACGAAAACTGCGTATTATATGCATGGCCAAACACATGCGTATCATATGCACGCCAACAAATTTCGTATCATATGCACACGAAAACTGCGTATTATATGCATGGCCAAACACATGCGTATCATATGCACGCCAACAAATTTCGTATCATATGCACGCGAAAACTGCGTATCATATGCACGCCAAAGTCAATTTTTGCGTATCAATACCACGAGTTTTCGTTTTTATTTGGCGTACTATTTATACGCATTTTCATGAGACTGGGCTCACAGAAGCTGCATCTGAAGACAGATTTATATGTATTTACAGTGCAATTACAATTGTATAAATAATGATATTCAATTAATGTTTTAAATATAACATTTTGAATATAGAAATGTGAAATGATACTAGAATCATTCATTCAACCAATTAATTCAAATAAGCTGATTCATTAATGAATGGAGCAAGTGATAAAAGCCAAAGCTATTTATTCTACCAGAAAGCTGACTTGTTACTATGAACTTGAATATGTAAGTTTATAAGATAGTATGTAAAACATATGCTGGAGTACTAACAGAAACCAATATATGTGTAAAAAATATGTGATAGACTACTTTTCTGAAGCATATATTGATGACTTATACTTGAATAAACTTTATTTATTTAGTTAATTAGTAAAAGTGTAACCCCTTTAATTCAAGGATCTTAAACACTTCTCCAGGAGCAGGGCTGGAGATCCATTGTCAAATGATTTTAATAGCATCAAATCAGTTTACGTCTCATGGTTGTGTAGGTGCTGAATTCTCCTGACTGACTGCAGGCTGAAGAGGCTGTATTTATGGCTCAGTATGACCAGTGAGTGTCTCCTCAGATTATATTGTCTTACAGGAACATTATGTAAGTGGACAACTATTCAACTGCTGATTGTGTTTCAGACTCGAGGACAAAGATTCGCTGGATATTCATGATAACCCTCCAGCTCCAGACAATGTTGTAAAGGAGGACGACAACACTGTGCGTATGTCAGTCTCTCTCCTTGTGTCGGTGTCATGTACACACAGCTCACTTTCTGTCCTCCTCAGGTTTACTTTGTGTATGATGAAGAGGTGGAGGAAGCGAAAACTGCGTATTATATGCATGGCCAAACACATGCGTATCATATGCACGCCAACAAATTTCGTATCATATGCACGCGAAAACTGCGTATCATATGCACGCCAAAGTCAATTTTTGCGTATCAATACCACGAGTTTTCGTTTTTATTTGGCGTACTATTTATACGCATTTTCATGAGACCGGGCTTGTGAGTCTGATTCATGAACAAATGACTCTAACCGATTCTCTAATGAATCAGTCAAAAAGCCTCAGAAAGACAATGCAATCTGTAATATTTCAAAACAGACACAAAAAGTATATGTCATTCCGAAATGTGAAATATAGTCCAACCAAATACCTTTTCCATTCATACTAATAAACCCACTTCACTGTGTTCTTCATAATTTGAGTGCTGCATGAGCGGCTCAAATGTTTAAGTGTGTAAATATATTCAGCTCTCCTCATTAAACAAACCAGCTTTGTTTCAGCGGCTGGAGAACTGATGCACGCAGATGGAACGTGTGAAGAGATTGAACTTGTTCAAGGATGAATATAGCTCATAAATAAGCAGAGCATCAGGCGTGAGGGGCCTAGATACTTAAAACACAGGGTAATCACAACAAAGCGAGCGGCTTCATTCTCTGTGTCATGAGCTTCTCAGACAGTCTGGTAGCTTCTCTGAGGGTTAATGCAATGTTCGTTTAAGGTTATCAGGTCTTTAATAATGTTCTCAAAACGTTATTCATACATCATTCATGGAATGTTTTTTCTGAAATGTTTTAGTTGGACATTCGTCTAAAGTTTTTTAAATGTTATTACTTCTTTCAAAACATTCAGCAAACATTCAAAAATATAACGTTCCCATAATGTTTGCCAAATGAAAAAAATGCATTGTTACCTTATAACACAGAGCAGTGTTATTTTAGAATAATTGAGATACTATTACAGTTTTATTGATATTTTGAATCAGATTTTCTTTTTCATTTTAATTTTAGTTAAAGATGTATTAATTAGATTTTTGTCATTTTTTGCTGTTTTAGTTTTTTTTTTAATTCATGTCTATATAGTTTTTATTCATTTCAGTTTTAGTTATTTTAGTACATCAAGTTACACTAAATTAAAATGAGAAACGTTGCCTTGGAAACTAGCCTTGGAAATTATTGTATGTAAAGTAACAAAAACGCTTTTTTATTTTAGTTTCATTTCTAGTTTTAGTTAACTATAATAGCCCTGCTTCGGAGAACATTCAGAAATAATGTTTTCATAACTTAACAAGAACATCAGCAAAGTGTTCTTAGCACACATTAGTGTTCTCTGGGCCTGATGTTGTGCTGAGTCCCGCAGAAGAGCAGCTGATGGACGGATGACGGAGGAGGAAGGGCGCTCTGACCTCCGCATCCTCTTCCTGGATGCTGCTGGAAAAGCCCTTCAGGAAGTGGGTGTAGCTAATGGGATGGATATCCGGATCCTCCCTGTTTTTCCTTCCAGAGCCATTGTTCCCACAGCCTCACTCACCTTCGGAGGACGCGCTGTTCTTCTGCCAAACGACGCAGGAGATACGAGGAGACAGAAACCCCTGCATGATATGAAGACACTCACACACACACACACACACACACACACACACACACACACACACACACACACACATCTGAGATCCGCTACACAGAGCTCTCTCTCCCAGGCAGCGATGTTCAAAGATCTGTGCTTTAAAGGCTGCAGATGGCATGTTCACACAACATGCGCTGGCCTACGCTTTTTCCTCTCGATGCTTGTTTTTCCTCCTCGAGTATGATTTATGTGTCATTACGTATCATTGTGGTTTGCTCCAGTGCGTTTGAATCATACAGAGCAGAGTGGAAATCATTTTCCTCCATCAGACATCAGAGAGCGGCCCGGTTTAGAGCTCAAGCCGCTGGACCTGCAGGCCTGTAATTACGGCCGACTGGAGTCATGGAGCGAGCAGATACAATAACATCACAAAAACACTTCAGACCAACCTCACGTCTCAGAGGGCGAAGGAACGGAGGAGCCCACCGCACCAGAAACAGCTTCTGATGGAGCCGCAGCGTTTATACAGCAGGAAACCCGAATCATTTTCCATCATGAATGCTTGTGAAGTCACTGACATCCATCAGAGGCGGTGGGTGGATGAGGACAAACGCCAGCGCTTCACTGCTGCCACCTGCTGTCCTCAACAACCAGCACTATACACTCCTAATGAAGCTTCTCTGTCAGCATCAGAACCCTTAACATCCATGGAGCCGTTCCAGTCGAAAAAGGTTCTTCAGATTATTCTAATGTTCTTCACTCTTAGAAAAAATGGTTCTTTTGAGAACTGTTCCCTGAAAGGTTCTTTGAGGAGCCAAAAATGGTCCTTCTATGGCATCACTGTGAAAACACTTTGTATTGTATGAGCAATCAATGCATGTCCACTGGATTAGATTTCAGTGATATGATCATCTGTTATTGTTTTCAATCATTCTTATACAGTATCGGATGAATTACACTAATCTGGGGCATTTTATTGCACTTTCAGCTTCTGCATTTTCCTGTGAGCCCCTATGCAAAGAAAATATATTTCCTTATATATTAACAATCAATATATTACATTATTTAATGTATTTTGAAAATACACAGAATAATATATTGTGTTAATATATTATAATATTTTGAATAAATCCTAATGTATGAAAATGTATGTGCAATATATATAAAATGATGAGGAATATATATATATATATATATATATATATATATATACACACACACACACACACACACATATATATAAAGAAA